GTCTGTTTAACTATGATTGTAGACCTGGATGGCACAGCCCCAGGAGACAGTTACATTATGTATCCTTTTTCCTTGTTCCCTTTCTGCTCATGCCCCAATCACGAGACAATCACGCTACATTCAGCCTAGGCCACATAGGCTACGTAGCATGAGTTATCCAGCCTTCTTTTCCTGTTTGTCTTACACTATAAATAAAGAGTGCGCTGGACCCCTGGCAGCCATTAGCCATTTGCCATTTGCTCCTGACAGGCTATAGCTACACCTGGTCCCAGCTTTCAAGCATAATCTTGGTATGTATCCTTTTTCCTTGTATTTCAATTTTCTTCATCTCCCACTGCTCTCCCTGGTTTCACACCTTATACTGTGTGGGTTGCAGCATGAAGTGTTTATTCTATTGAAGTTACCTGGAGATGATGATGGTGCTTTGCTTCAAAAATCCTAATTGAGGGCTGAGGATTTAGCTCAGTGGTTCTGCCTCCTGCCTTGCAAGCACAAGGACCCGAGTTCCATCCCGGTGCCAAAGAAAAAATCCTAATTGATTGTACTATCACACACACACACACACACACACACACGCTTTGCAAAAGTTCCATACATTATTTCTATCAGCCACAGATACTTAAATTACTATATGCTATTTTTTTTACCATGCAACAAAACTTTTATTAACATTTTGAACAGGTTCAGCTATTTCTGAAGCTGGTAATTTCTAAATTTAAATTGGGGCCAATGGCTATAGAGTACCACCATCACTGGGCACTGAAGAACTAACAGCCACCCCTCAGACGGAGGACCAGGTGCAGAGTGGACTCTCTGAATGTTGTAGTCCTATGTCCTAAGTCCTATGGCCCAAAATACAATATGCATGATGTTGAGTTCTGAAAATTGAATTTTGTTGGTTATTCTATAAATGGGTTGGAGCAGTATGATAAAATGTTTATGGAAACAGTGGTTTCTCAAAAGTGCCACAATTCTTTCTTGCACATTCCATGGCTTTAAAGGACCTAGGAATGTCATTGTCATACTTTATCTTTTCTGGGAGCACCTTTAACAATGTGAGTAGTGTAGATTATACAATCTAAGCAACAAGGGTGCTTATGCTATAACCTGGCCTTGCTGCATAGCTTTCCTGCTCTAGGCCACACTCAAAGCTAGCAGCCTTTCATGTCACCTGGCATATGGTCCAGAGAAGCATTTGTAAGTGAGGAATATTGCCTCTAGATCTCAGTCTTAACAGGTGGTGTATTTTTACAAACTGTGTGGCTGAGCTTGGGACAATCTATTGTCATTCTCTAGGATTTAGCTGAATTCTAAAAAGGCTAGCGCAATTAATTATATAGGGGTCACCACTTATTATGGTTTGGATCTAAAAGGTCCTCCAGATGTCTTGTCCTCAGAGGTGGGGCTTTTGTACAGTGGTTAGATCATGGGGATGCTATACTTACCAGTAGATTAGTCCACTGAGTTAACAGCTGAATATGCTATTAGAAGGTGGGGTCTGGTTAGAGGAGGTGGGTCACTGTGTTACCTATGAGGGTATAAATATTCTTGTCCCCAGCCCCCCTAACCCACCTGCTCCTCCTCTGGTTCTCATTGTCCCTCTCATCTCTCCCCTCCCCTCCCCTCCTCTCGTTCTCACTTACTCTGGTTCTTCTGCTGTATTTCCAGCCACTATGAGGTGAACAGCTTTCCTCTGGCATGATGTTTCAGACTTGGACCCTGGTACCCATGGACTGAAACCTCTCCTTAAAGTTGTGGGTGTCAGGTATTTTGTCCCAGTAATGGAAAAGTGACTAATAAACCATTCCCTCATCCTTTAGATCTTTACAGGTATCACTAATCTTGTCCCTTAGGGTATGTGATGGTTAAACTTAATTAGCTTGGGAGCTACCCAGAGGATTAGTAAAGCACACTTCTGGGTGTATCTGGGTAGGTCATGGAGGCATGACCTGGGAGTCTTTATATCTGATCTCTTGACCTTTCCTCTCTCACTCTTAAGAGCCTGTGTTATTTTCATTTTCCTTTTGTGGAATAAACCTATCTTCAAATTTGCAAATCCTATTGTCTGTTGTATCCAATCTGCAGTTAAAACTCATTTTGTAGCTATTATGTTTTTCTCAAGTTGTAGCACACACAGTGTATTTTATCTAGTTTTATTGATGGCAAATATTTTGAAGTCCTATATATTTTAATTTTCTTTTAAATGCATGGTAATTTAGTGCTTTCTGTCAACTCCCAAAACAAAATTATCTAAGTATTCTGCATTTTCCCTTGTTGCCAAAAGAATCACCACAAATTTAGCTTAAAAGAATTTATTAACAGGTCTACAGGTCAGAAGTCTAGTTGGGCCTATCTCACTTTTCTGACAAGGGAATAATCAAGGTATAGGTTGGGCTCAGCTCTTATCTGAAAGCTGTTGGGAAGAATCAGCTTCTAAGCTCATGCAAGTTGTTGGCTGAATTCTGTTCCTGGTAGTTGTAGGACCAAGGGCTTCATTTCTTGGCTGACTCAGGTAAGGGGCTGCTCTCAGATCTTGGAGGTCAGTTAAAATTTTTGTCATGAGCTGTCTTTAATTGTAGTAACAGGAAATATCCTTTGTGTTGAATCACTCCAATCTGACTTCTCTCTTTTCATTCATTCAGCTGATAAAACTATCTTCTTTTAAAAGGGATTGTGGGAAAAGATGAATTTCACTCAGATAACCTCCATTTGGCTGAATAATGTGACATAATCACAGAAGTGATAAGATATTCATAGGTCCCAACACTCACAGGGTAGAGGGGATTGTATAAAGAAGAGCATCCTTGAAGGTCATTCTTAGAATTCCACCTACCACTTCATTTTCTGTCATAGCTGTATTTCTCTGCCTTTCCTCACACCTAGTATTTTTTGTGCATGAGACATTGTCTATTTAAAAAGTGTATCCAGAAAACAGCAAAGTTCTGTTGCTGCTGTGGTACCTGGCACCATTTTTTCTATTAGCCTCTTAATCATCATCTGGAAAGAGAACATTCTAGAGTAATATCATTAAATGTAGCTCTGATAAAGCATGGTCTCTACTATGTATCATAGAGCAGGTACTAGATATTTTACATTCATAGAGGTATGATACAGTACTGTCCTACATCAATAATACTAGATTCAGTTTTGGTTTGAAATTTACTTTGTCTGCAAATAAGATTGCTACTCCTGTTTTTTTTGGGGGGGGCTCCTGTCACATGGAGAATTGTTTTCTATCTTTTCACTTTCAGTCTATGGGCTTCTTTTTACACTAGGTGTGTTTCTTGTATACAACATATTATTGGATTTTGCTTCTTATTCCATTTTGCCAGTCTATTTCTCTTGATTGGTGAGTTGAGTCCATTGACAATGCTGGTTATAACTGATATGTACTGACTTATTATGGACATGTTATTGGCCTTTTGTTGACTCTTTTTACTTTTTCACCTTCTCCTTTTAATTTCTTGCCTTGCCTATTTGATTTGCTCTGTTGGGTCTCATGGTGTTGCTGCCTTGATTGTCTTTTTCTAGGATCTTGTTTAGAATTCCTTGTAGTGCTGGTTTTAAGTGTCTTATTTCCCCCTCCATTTTGAAAGAGAGTTTTGCTGGATACATCAGTCTAGGTTGGAGGTTGTTCTCTTTTAGTACTTGAAATATCTCATTCCAGGCTCTCCTTGCCCCAAGGGTTTGTGTTGAAAAGTCTGCTGTGATTCTGATGGGCTTTCCTTTGTATGTGATTTGTTTCTTTTCTCTTACTGCTTGTAGTATTTTGTTCTTCTGTTGGGTTTCTGGGATCTTGAGTATTATATGTCTAGGTGTAGATTTTTTTTTGCTGTTTTCTGGATATTATTTTTTTTTAATGGAATGTGCTGAATGTCTATAATTTCATTCAGATGACTGCAGAACTTGGAAAAGCTGTTGCTGCTATCGATGCATAACATACAATTATTAGTCTATATACACACACACACACACACACACACACACACACACACACATATATATATAAATTGAATTTTGGGAAACTTCAACGGTGCTGCCAACTTTGGAAAACGTCATC